CGGAGCCTGTGCTCCGCAACGGGAGAGGCCACAACAGTGAGAGGCCCACGTACCACACACAAAAAAAAAAAAGTTCTCACACGAGTTGAAGAACCAAAGGCGTCCTTAACAAGAGATAACAAAGTTTACAATCCGAAATTCTCAAACACTGTAAAACGCATCCCTCAGTCTGAGGACATCATTGAACCGAGAGGAAAAAAAGCTAATTAACTGTCTCAGTGAAACATTCCTTCCCTTTTGGAGAGTCAACTGGGGACCCATGGACTTTGAGCCCATTGTCAAATGGTGTGTGAAAGAGATCCAAGTTCAGCAATAAATATTATAAGCAATATAATCGTTTTCTCCAGCCCTCAGGGCCAAATGACCTGCATTTTAGAGAACGGATTTTGTTCATGCATTGTATTTAGCCAAGCAATTGTTTCCCATGATATGCTTGAACCCACAGTTGCTCTGTCTATGAAATTCATGGTTGAGTTTTTCCAATTGCTGATTGCTAGTCCCACTGGCCTGAGTAATAGTCACTTCCTTCGCCCGTAATGGGTTTTATATACAGTGCACAGTCACAACCATTCAATGTCACCCATAAATATTCAATGAATTGTCCAATACAGTTATGAGAGTTGCTTACTTGGGACACAGCTAGGGTAAGCCTTACCGTGTTAATGAGATGATATACCACGACATTAGGCAAGGGGTGTTTCCATCCCCCGCATTTAGCTGTACATGCTCTCTTATCTAAGGACCCATTTATGTTATTATCATAATCTTCATCGACTTGTCAAGATAATGAAGGGTCCACTGAGTTCAGACAAGGCCTCATGTAATTCATGGAAATTTAAATAACATAGATATAGAAAGGGTTTAGGAGCACCATATAAATGAGATCTGCACGGAGAACCATAAAGAAAGGGCTTTACAAGAGACTCTGCCTTGGAAAGGATGGAGTTTGAACTTGGTTTTGAGGGAGAGAAGAGAGACTAATCCTCTGAAATGAGGAAGATAAATTATCCAACAAAATGCCTAAAGACACATTCAGGACAGAGAGCTGGAGGAAGAGCAGATGAAGGTGAACTCAGAAGTGATCATCAAAGTTGGAAAGAAAGGAAGGGAAACTCTTGTGCCTGTTTTCAGCAAATCCCACATCTGTATTTGTTACAGACACGCAAGTTTGGGTTTCAGGGGAGGCAAGTTTCTTATCAGCTTTGACATATGCCTACCAGACTTGCTTAGCAGTCAGACAATGTTTATAATTACTTCACCAAGCCCTTCCGATGTGCCACAATTTGCAGCCATCTGTACACTGATTTCTGACCAACAGACTTCATTCCATCAATGCTCCATTAAATTAACCTCAGATGGCTGATATCACCATGTCGGAATCTCACCCAGTGTAGCTATGAGTTAATAAATTGACCTTCTGAAAAGCAAGATGTTCTCTCCTTTTAAATTATGTAAGGAATTTCATAGTTCCTCTATTAGGGAATTTCAAGTTCCTCTATTTCAACACCCTGTTCTTTCAGGTATTCATTCACTGAACAACTATTTATTTACCTGTTCTATACCAGATTAGGTCCCTGTTCTCATGGCTTTACAGTGTAGTTGGGGATGCAGGCACTGAATAATACACTAAGAAGTTATTTCAAGTGTGGTAAATGTTATGAAGGAAATAAACATGGAAATACGATAGCCTTCTCCTGGAGGGGATAGGGGATTAGCTGTCTTAGATGAGGTGGGGGGGATCAGTAAAAAGGACTCTTTGAGGAGGTAGTATTTGGACTGAGATTTGGAAGAAGATATGGAGCCACATGAAGGGGAACAGAAGATGGAAGAAGGTACAGTCAAAGAAAACAACATGTGCAAAGTCCCTGAGGTGGGAACGAGAATTTGACAAAAGCAAGTGGTGAGAAGGAATGAGGCTGAGAGGAGCTGCGGAGGTGGGCAGACCCACTACTGCGGTCAAAGAACTCACCCAGGACCACAGCATTCTAAATGAGGAAGTAAGGAGGTGAAATGGATGTTACAGATGAGTGGCATACAGACTGGACGGAGGATACTGGGGACTAGTAATATCTGAGTGGTAGAGAGAAGAGGCGTAACCCATGAAATGCCTTCAAAGGCCAGGCTGGTATCATAAACAAGTGAGGCAAGCCGGGTAAGAGACAGGGAGTGGTAGTGACCTCGAGAATGAGTGACATGCCTAATAGCATCCAGACTCATTTAAAAAATATGTTGCAGGCAAAATAAAGCATGCCATTAAAAAATTCTTCACAAGCAAAATAAAACACATATGAGGAGGCAAACAAAGCCCACGGAACACCAATAGGCAACGCCGAGCTGGGGGAAAAGCAGGAAGGAGGCTGGGAATGAGAAAACTCACTAGAGTGATCTCATATAAGTCAAGGAAGAGTCATATCTTATATTTCCATGAACTGAACAGGAAAGAATATATTTTATTAGGCAGTAACCCGAATGCTGTAACACTAACAACAACAACAAAAACCCTACACTATTTGTTACAGAACTTTCGTAACCTAATAATGGAGGTAACCATCAAATGGTCAGATATGTAAAGACAGGAATCACAGAGCCATGTGGCCCATCCAAGAACTGGATGGACAAGTCCTCCTGAAGAATCACGGTCATTCATTCTGTGCTTGCACGGGTCCAGGGATGGGAAGCCCCCTCCCTCACAAGGCACTCTAAGTATTCAGAAGTTTCTATCAATTTGACCTGTTGTTATGTGGAACTGATACCTGACTCCTTGATGCCTAACAGTTCCACATCTGCTCTCTGGAGCCACACAGAACAGCTTGAATACCTTTTCTACCTGCCAGCCCTTCAGATACTTAGAAAGAGTGACCCTGTCACAGCCTTCCCTCTACAAGCCTTCCCTTCTTCAGACAACACATCTTCACCTTCAATGACTCCCCAAGGTAACTGTTTCCAGGCTCTGTCATCCTAATCACCTTTCTGTGAACCTTCCCCGATTTGTCACCATCCCTCTTAAAACAGTGCCCAGGGATAATACAGCATTCCTAGCCAATTTATAATCTAGAGCTCCTCCAGGCATCATTTTCTATTTCTGCAGCAGTAGGAATACAGTTCCATTTTACGGAGCTCAGTCTCCTGCTGTCCCTGCTCCCACTGCCCACCCTCCCAGGCAGTATGTTTGTTGTATTTCATGGAGAGATGCGTAATCGGGGGTGAGCACTCCCATCAGTTTAGAGAATGCTGCCCCTCATTACTCCATCATTTCTGATTAAGGTCACTCAGTCTAATGTCCATTACATCTTGCACCAATAATGCCTGTGCAATGCCTCATGTTCCTCGTGCTGCTTTCTAGGCGTTATCTTATTATGCGCTCAAAGTGGAGACGTATTTTTGCACAAAGAGTAAGATGAATCTCAGAGTGAGCAGTTTAAGACAGAGGGAAAACTGGAAATCTGACCCTTGAAAAGAACGCTGGATGGGGGCATCCAATGACCTGGCTTCAAATCCAGGTTTTCCATTTACTCACCGTTGCTGGTTTTTTAAAAACAAAACTAATAATGGTAATAAGAACAGAAACAGTTAATTATTAATAAATGCTGGTACATACTTTACCAGCATGTACCAGACTGGTACATACTTTAATAAATAAAGTATGTACCAATCCCTGTAATAAGCTTTTCATGTACAGTATGTCGTATATTACATGCAACCACCTTTTGAAGGGTATGTATTATATGTTATCTACATTTTAAAGAAAAGGGGATTAAAACACAGGGTTTACGTGACTTGTCCAACATCACACAATCCCAGTAGGCGGCACTGGGATTTGAATCTAATTCTGCCTGTCTCTGAAGTTCAACATCTTCAAGTCTCGTACCACAATCTCCCTTAGTGGGTACTTACGACTTAGCAATTAATGGGGAAAAAGAAAACTCTTTTAGCAATTACTTCTCCTGAGAAGCTTCTCCTCATGGGTAGGAGACAGGGACATGTGTTGCTTCACCTGTGAGGCTGGAGACACTGGGAGAGTGTACACGAGAGAGCAAAAGAGTGTGGAGGAGAGAAAGGCCACACACCAACCTCAGCCCTGGACATCATGTCTCAAACTGGGCTGAAATGTAGCCCTGCAGTTTCTGTCACAAGCACATTTGGAATATAAACAAGATTTCAAGGGGACAGTTCAGCCTAAGAAAACAGTGTTTTCACCTCTCCAACCAAGCACTCCAGAGCCCCACTGCCATCAGATCAGCTCTTACACGTGGGGAACATAGGTGCCCTCTCCTCGCTGAAAGAAATATTTAAACTGAAATTTTCTTCTGACATTTTACACCAGCATATCCGTGATAGGGTCTATGCTCCGCATAGCACGGACAGACATCTGAAGGTTCTCATGTAGATGAGGTCCTAGGAGCAGATCACCTGCTTCTTGCTGCTCATCTTTATAGTGGTTTCACACTTATATCTTTGAATGGAAGTAATAAGTTAACTGCTAAATGCTTATGACACAGGGGTTACACTCATCCTTCAAACCAACCTAGTTTCTGCTGACCATAACTCAAAGTTCCACTCTGAATAAATGCTGTTAGGAGAGGCAAGCTGAGTTCCAAAGTGGTTTTAAAATTAAATGTAGTATTCAACTAAAAAAAGAAAAAAATCATATATCAACCTGCTTGATTTCCACTGGTGGCACTCTAGATTATCTCCTACAGAACCTCTGGGCTGTATCTCCATGAAAATGTTTAGTGCCTTGGTAAATGACAGGACAGAAATCACAAAGACACTTGGTTTCTGCCAGATTACATTTGAAAAAGAAAATCATTATAATTCATTTGTCTTCAGTTTCTGCAATGGCCATTCTTGGCTCCTTGGCCTCTACTGCCACTTCCCAAGTCTTATTGGGTAGAATCCCATTTAAGATCATATACGCAGGGTTCCGGGTTCATTAGGTTGATTTCCGCACACTTCCAGCCCCGATAATCAAACAGTAAGATCAGAGAGAGCAGACCTACCTCATCGTAGATGCTGTCATTCCTGCGAAAGTCTCCAGCCTTCCTTGGGAGAACGTGGATGTGAACATGCTGAAAAAGTACAAGGAAGAAAGAATAAAATGTGATTATCTCCCCATGTATTTCTAGACTTGATAATGATGCTCCCATGAAGTCCAGTTACTCCATATTGGCTCCTGCTGGATTATTTTTCAGAGGAAGATGACGGTCACCTTCAGTAACTATATCTGAAATCTGCAGAGAATAGAGGCTCAAAACAAGAGAGGGGGGCTTCCCTGGTGGCACAGTGGTTGGGGGGTCCGCCTGCCGATGCAGGGGACTCGGGCTCGTGCCCCGGTCCGGGAAGATCCCACATGCCGCGGAGCGGCTGGGCCCCTGAGCCATGGCCGCTGAGCCTGCGCGTCCGGAGCCTGTGCTCCGCAACCCCGGGAGAGGCCACAACAGTGAGAGGCCCGCGTACCGCAAAACAAACAAACAAACAAAACAAACAAACAAAAAAAAAAAACAAGAGAGGACAATGTGGTGGCATATATGAGAGTGTGAGTGCCAGTGTTTTAGGGGCTCTGTGGAATTACTCATAGTTGTCAGTCTTGGTTGTATTTAGCCAGTGCTTTGAAATGATAGCATGTCTTAAAAGGTTACCATAGGAGCTCTGAAACTGACAAGAAAGAAGGATTGGCTAACAGAGAACGCGTAAGTAAAGAAGCAGAGGAGCGAAAGCAGAAAGGAGTATGGAGCAAGTTACAGAACGGGGGCTTCAAATAATAATCATATAATAGTAACATCAATAGTTCTCACTTATTAAGTGTTGAGTTACTATGATAAGAAAGCTTTTATCTCATTTAATGATCTGAATAATCCCCTGAGGCACGTTCTACTATGATCTCCATTTTACAGATGAGGAAATCTATGCTCAGAGAGGTCAAAGCCCCAGAGGAAGGGGTAGAGTCAGCACAGGAAGCCAGCGCATCTGGCTCTTACCACCACATTCTTTGTCAGCACATAACACTGATTCTGTCAAGTTACTCTTTTAAACAGTCCGTTTCTCTAGTCTACTAAAGCGCCCAGGTAATATACATAGCAATGCTATTATGCAGAGATCATGAGTCAAAGCACACAGCATATCTAATTCAATACCCTTCAAGGCTAAACTGCCATTTAAAAGTTTTATTTCCAAGGAGCCTCTACTGTACTCAGCCGAAGTTAAACCTCACTCCTGCCCTTGAGCTATGTTCACAAACCAGGGGGAGGAATGTGAAAAGGAAAAGCCTAAACGTGGACAGGCAGACAAAGCATCAAACCTAGTCTCCGATCACACCCACCCCTTCTTGATTACAGTGATCAGGCTCTAAGCCTCCAAGCCTCCAAAGGGCCTCCGGAGAATGTGAGATTAAGTGTCCCTGTGGCTTTGCTGAACGAGGAGGGGGAAATGATATGCTTTAAAGCAGAGGCAGGGAACAAGGCGGTCCAAGGTGAATAAAGCAGAGAGGAGCTTCACATCAGCCCCTGAGCACATGGTCCCCAAAGAGTAACATGTTTTTCCCAGAGTATTCTCCAGTTAATGATGAAGCCAGTCATGGATTCCTCAGCAACTGGGACGAGTGCATGCCTAAGTCACAAAGACTATGTGAGCAGCGGGAGACGAGGAGAAAAAACAAACAGGCAAAAATACATCACAAACTACCCATGGAAACGAATTCTTAGAAGGAAGCAGTGCGGGATAAGCCCAGGCTGAAAGTGATTGATGCACGTGGGCTAGTTGACTTAATAGCGAGACGGCAAAACTGCCACAGTACGTGGAAATAGCCCACCCTTAAAAGAAGGCGTACTCAATCTTTACTTCCCAAACCTGCAGCTACCCTTTCCCCCTCTTTCTTCCCTCTTTTCCTCCTTCTTTCTTCCCTTCCTCCCTCCCTCCTTTCCTTCCTTTCTTCCTTATATCTATCCATCCACCCACCCACCCACCATCTCCCTTGGACCTTTCAATAATCAGGTATTCCAGACCAGTGTTCTACAGCCAAACTGCCTAATGCAAATCCTGGGCCTGCCACTTACTAGCTCTTTGGTCTTGCCTCATAAGGCCTATATCTCAGTATCCTCATCTATAAGGGGGGTTGCAACCGGTTTCGGCCTCACAGAGTTGTTAAGAGGATCAAATCTGCTAACCATGTCCCTAGCATGCTGCTTAGTACATATTGAATACTTAACACATAAAACTGCAGCAGTATTACTCTTACTTTTTATTTATGTTTATTTATTTATTTTTTATTCAGCAGACAGAGATCACATTCAGGGCTTGGTTCCCACACCAGCAGCGAAGATACTTAAGAAGCTCCTTGAATGGGACATGGTTAAAGTTACTCTGTTGCTAAAGCTGATTTCTGTTGCTTTGACTAGTGGTCCTCAAATCTGAGCATGCACCCGGGGCTTGGTGAAACACAGATCGCCAGGCCCCTAGAATTCACATTTCTTACAAACTCCCAGTGATATCAATGTTGCTGGTCCAGGGCCATACTTAGACAACCGCAGCCATGGTTCACAGGATCCATCTGGTTCCTGACCTCCTCTCCTGAAAATGTGCTAATGTAAGCACCAAGGTCACTCACTGTTTTGCCTGCCCTGTTGCATTATGGGAGACCTGTCACTGAATGCTTCCTTGACTTGCCGCTCTCTGGTCACCCTCTGTGCCTTGTCCTTACGAATATGTCTGTTCTTGTCCACTAATGACATACAGGTGGCTGTGAACTTCCATTAGGGAAACCTCCTGGGTCCAGGCCCATCCCACACCTCTTTTTCTTTACCTTGCTCTCCTGGGTTAGTGTTCAGGGCTATTTCTAATTTCTATAGGCTCTGTTACCACCCAGTCCTGGAACTGCCATCCTTGATCATTGGTAACCACTTTAAATTCACTGTGACACTGATGACAGCAAACAGCTCACTGTATAGGTGATTTTCCCCAAGGGCATAGCTCTCAACACAGCCTGAGAGCTTGACTTAAATTCTTAAGTGACAGACTGATCACAAGATCCTGACAAACCACTCAACTTCTCAGAAAAGGGAAATCACCATAAAGCCTGCTCAAAAACCTCGCTGTTGTGAAGGAACACCATTGTCACGGCCTTCCAATAGAGTGGCATTCTGATAAAACCCCCATGAACAGCACATACGGAGATAATTCGACATAATTCGTTCCTCATACTGAACTTTGGTGATCACGATTGACTATTTTAAGTGCTAACAAAACCTCTGATTAAATTTTACAGTACAGCTGCTTGAGTGGGAAGAGCATTTTCTTTTTTCTTCTTTCTTTGCGGTACGCGGGCCTCTCACTGTTGCGGCCTCTCCCGTCGCGGAGAACAGGCTCCGGACGCGCAGGCTCGGCGGCCATGGCTCACGGGCCCAGCCGCTCCGCGGCACGTGGGATCCTCCCGGACCGGGGCACGAACCCGCGTCCCCTGCATCGGCAGGCGGACTCTCAACCACTGCGCCACCAGGGAAGCCCGGGAAGAGTATTTTTTAAAACTCCATGATGCACTGCATACCAAGAAAGTTCTCATGGTCAACTAAAATTCCACAGTGCTCACTAGCATAGTGTCAGAGAAGACCCACTCAAAAGACACATGGTTAAATTTGTCTAATTAGCAATCCAGAAACTTATTTAATTATGGAGATCTCTACTCTTTATTCATATAACATCTGTTTACATTTTTCTAACATTTATAATTATTCATGCAAAAATATTCAGAACCAAGTTCTAGTCTAGAAACCAGGGATATAGTAATGAATAAGACAAAGTCCCTGCCTCCATAGAGCTACAAGGCAAAGGGTGACACAGAAAATAAGCAAGAAAATAAATAGACAATTTAGTTTCAGGTGGATATAAGTGTCCTGCAACAAAAACCTAGTGGGCAGAGCTAAAAATTCAGAACTGGGACACTTTGACATTTGAATTTTGCGAAGAGAAGAAGCAGGACTCAGATTAAGATACAGCAAAGAAGGAGGCAAATCAAGAGACGGTAAGCTCTCAACTTGGTGGAAGAAGGAATTTCAAGGAGTGTATCATCAACAGTCAGCACTGTTGAAAGCTTGAGTTAGTTTCCATGAAACTGGGAGAATAAAACTTAACTGAAAAGCACATGACAAGATGCTCAACATCATCAATCATTAGTAAAAGGAAAATAAAGACCACATTGAGATGTCACTTAGCAGTCAATAGAATGGCAATATTAAAAAAAGAAAATAACAAGTGTGGATGAGAATGTGGAGAATTAGAGCATTCGCAGGCTGTTGGTGAAAATGTAAAATGATGCCACTGTTTTGGAAAATAGTTCTCCACTTCCTCAAAAAGTTAAACAGAGAGTTACCATATGATTCAGGATTCTACTCCTAAGTACGTACCCAAAAGATCCGAAAACAGGTCCACACAAAAACTTGTAAATGAATATTTATAGCAGTATTATACATAATAGCCAAACAGCGAAAACAGCCCATATGCCCATCAGGTAGTGAATGTATAAAAAAAATGTGGTATAGCCAGACAATGGAATATGATTTGGCCATAGAAAGGAATGAAATACTGCTAAGTGAAAGAATTATGCTAAGTGAGTTATGCTAAGTGAAAGAAGCCAGACACAAAAGGCCAGATATATCATTCTGTTTATATGAAATGCCCAGTATAGGCAAATTCATAGAGGTAGAAAGTAAATTAGCAGTTGCCAGGGGGAATGGGGAGTGACTGCTAATGGACATGACGTTTCTTTGCGGGATGATGAATTTATTCTAAAATTAGATAGTCATGATGGTTGCCCAAGTTTGTGAATATACTAGCAAAACATGAAACTGTATACTTTAAAGAGAGTGAATTTTATGGTATGTGAATTATGTTTCCATAAAACTGATATTAAAAAAAAAAACTGAAGCGGATTTTTTTTTTCCCCCGAAGAGGATTTAAGAGAGAGTAGAAGGTGAAGAAAAGGAGGTAAATAAGCACAGATAACTTTTCCAAGGAAAAGGAGTTTCACAAAGAAATCCATGGCAGTCGTTGCAGAGGAGGGAGAAAATCACTTGTGAGG